TCCAGCTAATCCGCGCCACTGGTCCCAGAAAACCAGGCGTCAGTGAGACAATCAGAGACAGCGCGGATGCGCTGATACACAATAAGGAGCGCCGTATGGCTCGTTGGGCGGAACACTTTGAAGATCAGTTCAGCTGGCCCCCTGCTCCCGGACCTCTTCCTACTCAGGTGATGCAGGACGTGCCATGGACGGTTAGTTTAGAGCCTCCGTCGGAGGCCGAGGTCCGAAACGCGATCACAGCCCTCAATCGTTTTCGTGCCGCTGACCCGGATTCCCTCCCACCTGCACTATTTAGGGATGGAGGTGAGGTCCTCTGCAGGGCACCATCCTCCCTATTCGAACGTATCTGGAACGAAGAGTGTGCCGGCTAATTGGAGCGAATCGATTATAGTGGCAATATACAAAAAGGGCATTCGCACAGACTGTGCGAATCACAGGGGTATTAGCCTAACGCCAGTTGTGACAAAATTACTGGCCTCGATTATCGTTCGTCGCCTCACTGCAGAACGGGAATCTCGGATTAGGGAAGAGCAGGCCGGTTTTCGCCCCGGACGTGGCTGTATAGACCATATATTTACTTTGCGGCAGGTGTTAGAGCAGCGCCACGCATACCGCAGACCGACAATAGCTGTGTTCCTCGATTTCAAGAGTGCGTTCGATTCAGTCGATCGATCGATTCTGTTCGAATTACTTGCGCGAAAAGGTGTTCCCACGAAGTATGTGAACATCCTTCGTGCTCTATACTCGAACACTGAGGCCGCGTCAGGGTCTACGGTGTCCTATTGGATAGCTTTTCGACTACAAGTGGCGTTCGTCAGGGTTGTCCGATTTCCCCATTTTTGTTCAATTTCGTCATGGATTCTATCATGGAGTGTTCCCTTGCGGAATCTCACGATGTAGGCGTGGAAGTGCTGCATGGTGAAAGGTTAGTTGATCTAGATTATGCGGACGATATCGTCTTGCTTTTCGACAATGTTAAGGCGGCACAATCAACCCTGAATAGCCTATCCAGAGTGGTCCCATTATTTGGTATGCACTTCGCACCTTCAAAGTGCAAAGTGTTGCTGCAGGACCACGAGCCACTTGATGACCCCTTGACGCTTGCTAACGAGGAACTCGAGGTGGTTGATCAATTCACTTATCTTGGCAGCTGCATCAGCAATGATGGGCGCATAGAAACTGACGTGAGCTCACGCATTCTAAAAGCCAGAGCTGCCTTCTTAAACCTGCGTCATCTTTGGCGACAGAAGGGAGTTTCCTTTCATCTGAAAGGCCGTGTATACAAGGCCACAGTGAGGGCCGTTCTGCTCTATGGTAGTGAAACTTGGCCCCTTCGGTCTGAAGATCTGAGGCGCCTTCAAGTCTTTGATCATCGTTGTTTGCGAAGCATTGCTGGTGTCGGATGGCACCAGCGTGTCCGCAACGATGATGTGCGTAGGCGAGTACTAGGTGGTGATAATCATGCTAGCTCCCTAGAACAACAGATAGCACTGAATAAGTTGCGTTGGCTCGGGCACGTGCTACGTATGCCTGGTCACCGCTTACCTAGGAGGGCCTTGTTCAGTCTACCAGATGTAGGATGGCGCAAGGCTCGAGGTGGACAGAAGTTGACTTGGCAGCGTGAAATGAAGTCACTGGCGACCAAACTGGGTGCCATTGGTCCGTCTCGTCTTCCGGGCTGGAGTCCACGTGACTCGCCCTGTGCTTGGCTCGAGACTTTACAGGACATGGCTCGCAACCGACACCAGTGGCGCGTCTGCTGCCGTCTCCTAATTGGATTGTCTGTTTAAAGTGTGTTTGGTGTTGAGTTATCTGCGGGGTAATGGCTGATTATGACGCAGGGCAGTGAAAGCCGCAAGGAAGCTGTCTCGCCGATGCCGCCTTATCTTTGCACGATAGTCAGCTGTTTGTGACGGTATGTTGTCTATACAAGGTGTAGGCGCCACGGCCGTGAATGTTTGCTTAGGGCAATAAGTTTTTCAGGTAAGTCCCCCTTCTCTCCCTCTTATTATTCTTTATTTCATAGGTCATCGTGGTTATATGGCAGCGCAGCATCGGTTCAAATGGCTGATGTACTGCTGTTGATGATGATGATGATGATGATGATGACTCGGAAGAACGGCACATTTGTCGCGGTTTACGGGTAGTTGCTATTTGATGCGCAAATCGTGCAGCTGGTCTAGCGCCGTTGGTAATCTGTCAGCGTCCTGAAGACTAGGTACTTCTGACTATAGCTTGAGCTCATCAGCATAGACGAAGTAGTCGGCTTGAATAGCTACAAGGGGGTCATTAATGTAGAGCTTGAAAAGTTCCGGCCCAAGGGCAGAGGCTTATGGGACGCCGCCAGTCATAGACACAGAGACAGCCAGCGTTTGGTTCACTTTTACTTGAATAGTCCGATCTCTCATAAACTCCGCTATCAATGGAAGGACATTTCCAGTGATACCAATCTGCTGGAGTTTAAGCAAAAGTCGTTTGTGTGGGACTTCGTCGAACGCCTTTCTGAACTCAATGCTGACAACATCTAGGTGTCTCCCGTTGGCTCATGTTTTTCTAGCGACAAGCAGCTTAGCGATGCAGGAGCGTGCTTTGCGGAGTCCATGCTGAGCGGAAGAGATGGCACAAAGACTTCCACAGTGAGCATATAAGGCACACTTGACAATTCGTTCTCTGATGTTACAGATTACAGACTTCAGGCGTATCGGTCGATCGTTTGCAAGATTATGCCGGTTTCTTCCTTTATAGTTAGACATTACGATCCCTAATTTCCAGTCAAATGGTAAGCGCTCATCTGCAAGCGAGCGCCGGAAAAATTAACACATTTGATCGGCAATGTATTCGGTCACCATTTTGAGGAATAACGCGTTAGTCCAACAGGGCCAGGTGCGGTGTTTTAGTTCAGTTCGAGTACGAGTCTCGGGATTGATTTCGACTTGCTCGAGGTGACAGTGCGCCGACAGATCGTCAGTGAATAGCGATTGTTCGATGGAGTATATCGATGAGTACTGGGAGACTAGTAAGTGAACCCTTCGTCATCTTCGTAGACCACTGTTTCGTGGCATACTAGAGCGGGAACATCATTGCCCGCCTTGGTGTTTCGCTTCAGGTACTAGAACAGTTTCTTCGGACAACTTCGTGAGGCTTTAGTATGAATGATTTGGAACCAGTGAACTGGTTCGTTTTGATGACTGCAGCTGATCATACAGATGAGATTATGGCTATGCGAACTGATTGTTGAATCATAGCCGCGTCTTGTTTCAAGTTCGTCATTCTTTGGCATTCGCTGGTGACTTCCTGTAATGTAACATCGGGCTTTTGCTTAATCCTGCTCAGTATTCTTGTTCACTCAATGAAATGACAAGAGAGAATTCAGAAGCTCGCTGAAAGCTGAGTCGAGCATGTGTTTAACTCCTTTCTGGACCGACCACTTCAATACTTGGATGCCTTATCTGATATTGTAGTGCTAAGAAGTCAGACATTGTACACTCGGTCCCACATTTCAGATCCTTGCTATGACACCTGACGTTTTTAATTACTGTGCCTTCCTCCCAATCTCTTATTATCGTTATTAGCTTTGCCATTATTTATTGGTCGTCCCAGCATCTTAAAAGCGCACTAGTCTAGACACCAATCCGGAAAAGCACCAGCCGATCGTTTCACCCTATTAGAACTCGTTAGTGGTGCGCTTTCACTCGGTCCCCTGCAGGGAACCGAACCTGTGACCGCTAGCAACTTGTGCCAACTAGACAGCAGCTAATGGCACTGAGCCAGGGGAGAGCGGCAGATCGTCACAACTGGCAAGCTAACTGGGATATAGCGCCACTTATCCTCCACTGTCATGCAGGTTACCAATCCCCAGAGGTTACAGCACTGTTGATATGTACGACGTGTCATTTTAACTGAGAACGAATGTTTTTGATTACCAATGCGTAGGATTTTAGCTGAAATTTTGCTGGTGCTTTTTCGGATTAGTAGCTAAGTTGTCGCGCTTGTGAGCTGCTGGTCGAATCGTAGTGTTATTCTTTTGGCGAACTATAACAAGGCGACTGGATGCACTATACTTCGGTTCACGGACCGACTCTGACAAACTGAATGCAGTGAACTCTGCTATCTTCCCCTCTGGACCTCTTACCTAACCCGTGTCTGATGCTAATGTATCTTGGATTACGGTTTACTGTGACGCAGAAAAGTGAAAGTCACAGAAGCTATCCGCTCATCGTCACCTTATTTCTGCACGATAGATAGTTGATTGAGGCAATGTGGTACTGGATATAGGAATATTTGGATGAATATAACGTTTGGGTTTTAAACTATGTCCTCTTTCCTCTCTTATTGTTTCTCATTGGTGTGGCCATTTGGGTTCTATGGTGGCATAACTTCTGTGTCTCTTGTTGAACTACTACGAATGTTGTTACAGCTATCTGTCTATGCTTAGGAGCATGCATATGTTTTATCTGAACAGCTGTTCTTCAAAGCTGCATGAATAGTTTTTGCATAATATTTGTTTGCTACGTTTCACCTTTTTGGAGGAGGCCCAGGAACTGTACGCAAATTATCCTAACATCTCTGTTACGCCTGTTTTCTTCCTTTCACCTCCTCCGTTGAATAATCTATGATTTGTCATCCTTTTCTCCATGACACACTCACTGGTCGTTAGCGCTCCCGCACTCAATCGCAAACATATGCTTTTATATCTTCCTTATAGACGGTTATTATGTATGTCTGTCTATCAGCATTTGCGTTAATTGGTTATCGCAATTGTGACTACATTTTGATCTCGTTTTCCTTAGAGCTTCCCGTTGTTTTCTTCTTCGATGTGATGTATTTTTTGTCTTGCCAATGCTGCCCATCTCGACTGGGTGATTCGCACCTCTACGTTCATGGTTGTTCAGCTCAGCTGCACTGATTACATTACATGTTCTAGCGAATCGTTTCCAGTGGCGAAGCATAGCCTTAAACAACTCCATACTACTAACTGAATAATTTTGTCCTCCATTTCCAGGGTCTAAGATCAACATTCCATTTTGGATGTGCTGGGCGTACTGAACCATTGGTGCATTGGTGCACATTGAGTGAAATTTTGTATCGTCCCTGGTAGATAAGTTCAACTCGGGCCCCGATGGTGATTTGTTGGTGTACTCTCCGAGTCTTTTTTGCTCACTGTCTGAAGGAATCATAGTCTAACACGAAAATGAATAGTGACAAGCCTCTACTCAGTGAGTCAAAGAACTGTGCGATTGTGCAGGATTCTGACCTCACAAACGAGAATTCAAGTGATGGATCCGCATCGAATGCAAATAAATGCACTCAGAAATTGTTGGATGATATGACTAATTCTGAACAATGTGAAGACCACGGACGGCATGTCACATTTGATAAAGTGGAGATATATTACTTTGAACGATCTCAAGGTTTTATCTGCGTTCCAAGCCAAGGGGGGTCTACACTCGGCATGCGCCCCACTCATTCTGCGTTTGAAGTCCTGACCGTCTCCGACCATCAAGACTTGCGATTATTAGAGCGATATTTGACGATCTTGAGAAGGCGCGCAGCTGGAAAGATTTCATTAACAGATGAACAACTTGAATTCATAAAGGAAAAGTTAGAATCCTCACGCTTCCTATGTTTGAGGGAGGCATTTCATAGACATTCTCTCATACACAATAACTTTTGCTTGGGAGTTTCGTCACAAAAGTCGGCTGATGTTGTTCTCTCTACTTCTACTCACGTTTCTGACGATTGTTCTGTGGGTCCATCAGGACGGGTTGACGATTCACTGTCTAAGCAGAACTGTTCTCCGACCTTTAACGTAGATGTTGAAAACCAACTTTCGGGACTAATTGACTGCTATTTTCTCCAACTCATTCCCGTGAAAAAACGTCGACTTCTCTTACGCAAAGCGGGTAAGTCCAAGCTTTCTTATATAATTTACCTGTGTGCTTTCTACTGTACATACAGCTCGAAGCGAAATCGTTCCCCATGTATCCGTTTTCCTGCTGCTATCCTATTCTCTGTATCTGGTCGGTTGCAGTTTGATTTGAAAACGCGGTCACGTCACTCCATCCGAGCAGTATAATTCCCATCCACACTTCTAGAAGGTTTCGCTAAAGCGCGCGTACTTTTAAACGCAGTACTAACCAAAGGATTCAGTCTGTCAGATTACTCTGGTCTACCATTTTTCACCGCAAGGAATGCTGTCGTTTCGCATTGTTTGTTTCTGCACAAGTTCATTTTGCCTATTCACCCATTATCACTCAAGCATTGCGACAACAAGAGAATATTACGATCATCCTCAACATCCTCAATAGCAGTATATCAGCCATTTGATCTGTTTCGACCCTGAGAGGAAGGGGGACTTAGCGTAATACCTTAAAACCCTAGACATTCAGACTCAAGGTGCCTACATACTGTCAACAACACACGATCACAAACAGCTGGCTATCGAGTGGAGATAAGGTAGCATCGGCGAGACAACTTGTGGCTTTCACTACGCAGCGCCATTACCCCACAGATAACTCGTCCGTGGGCACACTTTAAACAGATAGTCCGACTAGACGACAGCACACACACGCCACTGGTGCATTCTGTGAGCCGTGCTATGTAACCTCTCGAGCGAAGCATAATGCGGACCACGTGGACTCCAGCCTGGAAGGCCAAACGGACCAACAGGGGCTATTTTTATGTTCAGTGACTTCATTTCCTCCTTCATCGCTTCTTGCTTCATTGCCCACCTCCTTTGCCCCACCCCATATCGGCCAAACAAAATAAAGTTCTCTTCGGTAAGCGATGACCGGGCGTACGTAGTATGTTTCCATGCCAACGGAACTTCTACTGTACTATATATTACGTTGAAAACTGGTTTGGCTATCTCCCTCTAACACTTTCCTGAACACCGAGCCGGAAGGAAGTTCCAAAGGTAGTTTCAAACGAAGCTGCGAACCATCTAGCAGCGAAAACAAGCAGAAACGTCTTATGCATATCAAAAACTGTCAGTATTAGTGTAGATTCTTAAGACTTTCCAGGGGAACAGCATAGATTTGGACCTATTGCGATCTCCTATTGTGCAAGGTACAGTATTCTCCTTAAGTTCTTTGGTGTTAGATAACTGCACACGATCTCCTTTTCCAGTCAGATAGCAACTCATCTTACACTTGAAAGACAACAAAGGAAATCATGGTTATCTGTCCGGTGGAGATGAGATGAGGTGAAGCCGCGTTTACTTTTTATATCGGCGTTCCAAAGTGGGTAGCATGTGGTGCGGTTGAGCCATATTCAACTGTCGGTGATGAGTTTTGTCCAGTCTTACCCTCCCAAGAACGTCTTTAACTTTGCGTTTGGTTATTGATCTTAACATCGTACTTCAGTGGACAGAAAAGATCCACGTTGCTCCCTCTCGTTTGCTCAGCAAACATCAGCCAGCTGATGGAGCGATCACAGCACTTGCTGTTGTGGAAGACGTCTGTTTGGCTCTCATCATCATCATCACCAGTACACGTTAGCTGAGGGTGAGAAACACACGTCAACTAATGTGCCGCAATACAAAATGATAAGAGACAAATATTACACTACAAAAAAGATTCCAAACTAGTAATATGATGTAAACTTATATTATGCATTTTGTATGAGATCAGAATTGGAGGGGGCGTCTAAAGGGCCGGCCCGGCTCTTCGCCATATCAGCAAGTGTGTCCAACCAAACGTGTTCATCGACCTTAGGACCCCAGCCAGACAGTCGGAATGCACCAACCGACGCAAACTTCGAAGTGAGGGTATTCATTTCTCGACCAAGTCATCACTTGGCCTCCCCTCCTCTTCCACCCGCACCCCCGCGCAAACAATGCACGTTGCGGGAGTCGGTGTACTCGCATGCGCAACACGTAGCCCAGCCATCGGAGCGTAGTGCGTGATATAATGGTGCTGAGCGGTCCACTCGCTCTTCCTGCACCAAGTACGCGACGCCAAACACGCTCATCGCTCACACCAGACATGACATAAACTGCGGAGGCCGCGATGATCGGATGTGACGAGCTTCTTTATGTCTGTAGACCTGATGGACTAGGTTTCACAGCCATATAGGAGAGTTGAACGGACAGCTGCGTTATAAACTCTGCCTTTCAGGGCGAGAGTGATGTCACGTCTGCGCCACAGGTGGCGGAGATTGGCAAATGCACCTCGAGCTTTTACTATACGGTTAGTAACCTCATCTTCGATCCCACGTGCACTAATATAGCTGCCTACGTACTTGAATTCCTGAACGAATTCTAGCTGATCACCACAAAATGTTAGCGCAGAGGTGGGTCCTTGCCAATCTTGGAGAAGTACTTTGCATTTCGATGGAGCAAAGCATAGCCCAAAACGGTAGACAGCTAGTGCTAATCGGTCCGGTGCTGCTTGGCATGTTTGGGAGCTGTCACAGGTTAGGACAGCATACTCCAAGTCAATAAGTCGCCCACCAGGAAGTAGTTCCACGCCTTCTAGATCGTGTTCAGCGAATGCTGTCTCCATGACTTCGTCAAGTGCGAAGTTAACTAGGAAAGGTGACAGCGTGCAACCTTGTCTCACACCGCTGGTGATACTGAAGGGTGGCGGCAGTTTGCCATAAACCCTCACTCTGTCCGAACTATACGCGTACAGCGCTTTGATAATGTTTACGTATTTATCAGGCGTATCTTTCCTCAGCAGACAGTCCCAAAGGGCACATCGATCGATTGGGTCGAAGGCACAGTTTATGTCAAGAAACACGACAACAGTGGGTCGCCCATGAACATGATGATGCTCCAAAAATTGACGCAAGGTGAAGATGTGGTGGATGCAACCCGGACCTCGACGAAATCCAGCTTGCTCGTAACGGATATGGCTTTCACGAGTGCCAGTCAGTCTGTAGCGAATGACAAACGCAGACAATTTAGAGGCACTTAACCGTCATCGCCCTATCCTTTGTGTACGGAAACAATTAACAGTCTCCCTAAAGCTCTCTTGGGGCTCATGACCTTAAGATCAAGCTCGTTGATCCGTTACTCTTGCGTCTATGGAATTTTCCTTTGTTACCAGTTTCAAACCTTGGATTTCCTGTCACGTGATTGATATTTATTTTGTCACTTTGCGCGTGAGCAGATAACACGAAATGGTTCCATCTCGAGATACCAGTCTTCTCATTGTCTTATTTAGAATGATAAAGGGAACTCAGTGCTTTACATTTAGAGGCAATTGAAATCAGACTGATCCCTCTATTTTTGCCGCATTCCGAACGGGAGCCTCCGTTGAAAATTGGGACAATTATGGAGCGGCTCCAGTCTGTCTGGAAAATTTCCTGCTCCCAAGGGTTCATTAGCAACTCGTGTAAATCATCTACTAGAGCAGGTCCCCCGAATCTGAAGAGGGCTGGGAGTATTCTCTCTGCTTGTGCGGACTTAGGCAATTTCAACAGCCTGATGTCACCTTCGACTTCTGCGCGTGAGGACGGATCCAAGGAGACGGTCCAGAGAGAAGGGCGCTCAATGCCCGAAAAAGTAAGCGATAACTCAGGTTGGTTAAATTGCTTTGCAAACTGTTCGGCCCAACACTCCAAGCGTTTTGACAGCCTGTGGATCGGCTGCCCACTCTCGTCGCGTCTGGTCTCGCTAACACCAGGTCTCCTGCTGCCTGTTTCCCATATCAGACGGAATAACTTACGATAGTTTCCAACGACAGCGGCTGTTTCCATCACCGAGTCACGATGAGGCCACCAGACTTCGCAGTCTCTCTTCAGCCTAGCACGCAGTTTTGACCTGAGATGTTTACTTGTCTCATTGTGTTCGCTTCCAGCTGGAATACGTCGGCGCGCATCCATAAATTCCAGAGACTGTGTAGAGACCCAATGTCCAGTTTGGAAATTTGATGTGCTACATGAAAACATGCCCGCTGATAGTAACATTTGACGAATACGCAACCAGTGATTTTCGACCGCGTTCGGTGGGCGCTTACTCAGCCCGTATTTTGATACACATTCAGAACACCTGGCTTCGCCAGCTGGCTGGTGTCAATCCGTTCATATCGATGTCGCGGACGTCCACCGAAACGCACCCGACGGTCCCCGCAAAAATGTGTGTAGTCAGAGTCTACGCTCGTGCTACAAATCGAGCGACAGTTTTGGACACAGCCTGCAGCGGTAACTGATCGCGATATGATCGATTTGCGTCCACGACTGGCCCGAGGTTGGTGGGCACCAAATCACCCTTCTGCGGGTGCTGTTTCGAAAATTTGTGCTCGTGAGAAAATGACGAGCATCTTCACACAGCTGTAGCAATCGATCACCGTTATCATTACGGGAGCCTACACCATTTTGGCTGCCCAGTTGAAGATCATCAGAGGAAAATTTTCCGATTTGGCCGTTTAGATCACCAACAAGCAACACAGTATCCTTGCTTTTTCTGTAACGGAGAAGATAATCAAGTTGGGGATAGAAATCATCCTTCACCGAATCAGTGCTACAGTTTGTAGGGGCGTAGGCCGCAATGACAAACAGACACCGTTTGTCTTCGCGCGACTTGGAAGCATGGAACGAATCAGCTAATCTAGTGGCGCACATCCGACTGCTGACTGGGATCCAATCGATCAGGGCAGCTTCAGCCCGGGGACTCAAAACAATTCCGACGCCAGCTTTACCGGCATTTGTAGCTGCATCATCGCCAGACAGGCGCAATGAGAATGTGCCGCCGTCGTATGTGGTGGATCGCAGAGTAAGCACGGAGCTCGAAACTTGCAGGCGGGTTTCTGATAAACAGCAAATATCGATCGATAGAGTCTCTAGTGTGCGGGCAAGTGCTGCCTTTTGGCCAGTCTGTAGCAAAGTGCTCACGTTGTGGCATGCCAGTCTTAGAGAGGATCGAGGACTCCAAAGGGAAGGGGATGAACAGACGTTGCCT